AAAAAAAAAAAAAAAAAAAAAAAAAAGTCATGAGAGTGAATGTCATTAGGGGAAAAAAATATTTAGCCATAGGCCAATATGCATATTATAATGAAGTCATTATCTCAAAGCATTGCATTCGTATGTGTGCGTGATCATATGTGCATGCATTCTTGCTGCAATGTTCTTAGATTATTTTGTCAAATCTATCTGAGCATCTTGGCTATTTCATTAATTGTTTTTTGTTGTCTGTAATGCAGGAGGACAGACTAGTATCAGGTTCGTCTTCTCATTTTGTCAGCTTGTTTTCTAGTTTTTTCTGATGGTTGGGTAAAATCTCCAGCTTGTTGAAATAATATCTGGTAAATGTTAGGAAAGACAGTTGAAATCTGTTTAACAGAAAGGGGAAAAAAACAAAAAACGCTTAAGCCAGTCGAGGCTTGTAGGTGGATGCATTCTGGAATTGATGCCATTATATACCAAATGCAACCTAGGAAGGTTGTAAAAGTAGAAATTCATCACAGTTTATCATTTTTTTTCTCTCTCTTTCTCTCTTCTCCTCAATGGATAATAACTTATGATTTTGTTATTTACTAAAAAAAATGTTCATGATATTTTAGAGAAGTTAATATATTTTGAATTTCTTTAAGGACGAAAAAGAAAACTCTATAGTTTATTAGAATTGTTAAAATACTCTTGAATTGGGATACCTAGCTCCTCGTGTAAATTTCTTTGTGAATGTAAATTTCTTTTTCTATCTAAAAGATGGTTTAAGGCAATCCTGCATGGCTAAATGATGTAGGATGCTTTTCTTTTTTTTTTTTTCTTTTTTCCAAACGTCAACTTGTTCTCCCCCTGGCTCCCACCTACAATTCCCAGATCGACAGGTTCCTCTGCTGGAGGGTACCATGCATTTTTTTTAATCAAAAGATAAGATAAGAGGGTGTTTTTCTTTTCTTCTCTTCTCTTCTTTTTTCCTTTTAAATTGAAGATTTGTACTATGTTTCTACTGATAATTATTATAACATAATTTAAAAATTGTTTCTCGTGAATGCTTATTATCCTTTTTTCCAGAAGCTATGACTGTACAATTACATT